TCTATATCCATACTTTGTCACCTGGTTGAAAATGTGCTTCGGTACGACGCTGATTGCACCGATAGGAGTCGATACGCTGTTGGCGGCGTATTCTGTATCTCGCCATCTGTCGTGCTTTCTCGGCTCTTTGCAGGAAGTCGTCTAGGCCAGGTGGATTGCTGCTTTTATCATTCAGTGGTAACATGACATCCAGTGGAGTGGTGACTCTTCGGCCGAATACAAGTTCAAATGGTGTCACTCGCGTTGTTTCGTGAACGGCTGTATTATATGCGAACGTGATGTAGGGCAATATTTCATCCCACAGTTTATGTTCGACGTCGATACACATTGAAAGCATATCAGTCAGAGTTCTGTTCAAGCGCTCCGTTAGGCCATTTGTTTGAGGATGGTGTGCTGTAGTTCTCTGGTCTGTATGAGTCATTCGCATCAGACATTTCATTAGGTCTGCAGTAAAAGCTGGGCCACGATCTGTAATTACGACGCTGGGTGCACTATGTCTGAGTACTATGTTGTTGATGAAGAACTTGGCAACTTCAAGAGCTGTTGCAGTGTACAGCGAGTCAGTCTCAGCGTTGCGAGTGAGATAGTCCGTGGCTACGACTATCCACTTCTTGTGTGCAGTCGATGTCGGAAACGGGCCTAGGAGATCCATACCGACTTGTTGGAATGAGGCATGTGGTGGTTCTATTGGCTGGAGGAGGCCTGCAGGTTTCACGGATGGACTTTTGCGTCTTTGACATTCACGGAAAGTTTTCACATAGCGCTGAACTGATGATAACAGTTTTGGCCAGTAGTATTTTAGGTGAATTCTGGTGAATGTACGGCTGAAACCCATGTGTCCAGATGTTGGCTCATCATGACATGCGTGCAGAATCTCGTTTCCTAAAGGTGCAGGTACAACGAGTAAAAACTTGTCACCATGAGGCTTGAAGTTTCTCTTGTAAAGGACCCCTTCTCGAAGACAGAACGAAGGGAGCCCTCTGGGTAAAGTGCGCGGGACTTTAACGTTGAGTCCTTGGAGACGCTGTATAAGCGGCAGCAAATCGGGCTCATTTTGTTGTTGTTGAGCAATTTCTGATGCCTGGACGACGCCTAGAAACGGGAAGTCTTCTTCTTCCGGCTCACTCGTCTCCACGGGTGCGCGTGACAGGCAGTGGGCATCGCTGTGCTTTTTCCCAGATTTGTATACCACAGTACATCGTACTTTTGTAGCCTAAGGCTCCATCTTGCTAGTCGGCCAGAGGGATCCTTAAGATTCGCAGCCAACACAGGCAATGGTGGTCACTGACTGCTTGGAATGGTCTACCGTAGAGGTACGGCCGAAATTTACTTATGGCCCAGATGACCACGAGACACTCATTTTCGGTTGCAGAGTAATTTGTCTCAGCTTTCGAAAGCTTGCGACTGGCATACGCTAGCACCTTTTCTTGGCCGTTTTGCCGCTGGACTAGAATGGCTCCGAGGCCGACGTTACTCGCATCAGTGTGAACTTCAGTTTCGGCAGTATCATCGAAGTGGGCGAGGATTGGAGAGGCTTGCAGGCGTGTTTTTAACTCATCAAATGCTTCCTGTTGTTCACTTTCCCACATAAAGGGCACCTCGTCTTTTGTCAGATTAGTAAGTGGTTCAGCAATGTTCGAAAAATTTTCCACAAATCGCCCGAAGTACGCGCATAAACCCAGGAAGCGACGTACTGACCTTCTTGTCTTTGGGTGTCGGGAACTTCGCGATGGCAGCTGTCTTTTCGGGATCTTGCCGAACGCCGTCGGAGCTGACGACGTGTCCGACGAGTCGAAGCTCTTTAAAAGCGAAGTGGCATTTTTCTGGCTTGATGGTCAAGTCTGCTGAACGAATGGCCTCTAATACTGTGTGGAGTCGCTCTAGATGTTGGTCGAATGTAACGGAAAATACGACAACGTCATCCAAGTACACCAAGCAGGACTGCCATTTCAGTCCCGCGAGGACAGCGTCCATAATTCTCTGAAACGTAGCTGGCGCTTCATTCTCTGAAACGTAGCTGGGTTCTCGGGCTATCATCATCGTCTCTGCGCAACACTAGACGGCGCGCATGTATGTCCCTGTGCGCGTGGTGATGGGCGCGTTGTTTGAATGCAGGCACTATGTCGCTGCAATATACCTTTCTCTTGAGGGACATTGATAATCTACTAGTCATGATTTGAGAATGTTGCCGAATGTGCGCCATACCATTCTTATTCTTCTGGTTACTTCAATCTCGTGATTTGGCTCCGGGGTTACTACTTGTCCTAAGTAGACGTTCTCTTTTACAACTTCAAGTGCACTGCTACCTATCTCGAAGCGCTTTTCTCTTCCGAGATTGTTTTGCGTTTCTTTCGTTTTCTGAAGATAAATTTTAAGACTTACCTTTCTTCTCTCCTTGTCTAAAACAGTAATCATGAATTCTAACTCGTCCCTTGAGTTACTCAGCGATGCAGCATCATCGGTGAAGCGCAGGTTACTAAGTTACTCTCCACTAACTTTTATTCCTAATTCTTCCCATTTTAGATCTCTCAAAACCTCATCTAAGCATGCGGTGAATAGCATTGGCAAGGTGGGATCCTCTTGTCTTACACCCTTATTTATTTGATATTCTGTCGCTTTCTCCTTTATGGAGCAATATGGTGGCAGTTGATCCTCTGTAGATTTCTTCAGGATGTTTATATATGTTTCGTCTACGCCCTGATTCCTGCGTCTTTATGGCTGTCACACCTGTCCCGTTTATTAGGGAGGCGATCGCCGGGCTAATTCCAAGAGCCGAAGTATCGGCCCCCCGAACCGCACCACGAAAGCGTGGACAATTTAGAAGTGGTCCTTATTGGTGCGCCAGCGGACGCCGGCTGTGGTCCAAAGAACAAGACGGAGCCGAGAGTTGATAAACAAACAAAATTATATTCTCATTAACGGCAGATCAAAAACAATACACACGTATGCACACTCCACAATAGTTACATACAATACGTCACCAAACAGACAATGTACTACACAGTACAATCAACCACACTTGAAACAACGGACACGGACAACAATACGAGCTACAATGCAGTCGCATGCACTGAACAACCAAGACACTTAAGGACTAAAGAGATAGAAAACCTATCCAGTCCAAAGTCCTTGGAACAAAAGTCGAGATGATACTCTTCCGAGAATCACTCACTCAAAGTCCAGCGTTGTTGTCGTTCCGCAGCTCTGAAGTTTCTCTTCCAGGAAACCTCCCGTCTTCAATTGGCTACTCTTCAAACTTCAACTTCTTCGCCGGAAATCCGTCGGCTTCACACACGCAGCTGTTGCCCGCGTCTTCGCTCGATAGCGGTAAACTCACGCTCTTGCCTGTAGCTCGAGCCGTCCCTACGGACCAAAAACTTCGCCGACTACACGGCGGACTCTCTACGCACTCTGGCGCTCACTTCCGTCTCCTCCTGTTCTGTCACTATGGGCAGAACCTTCGCCGACTACACGGCGGAATTCCTACGCGCTCCGGCGCTAACTTTCCGTCTCCTCCTGATTTCTCGTCTCGGCTGCTCGGTTAAATACCTTGCGCGCGACTTTCCAGATGTTTCTCGTCATTTCGTCGGCGCGATACGCAGCGAAGGCTGGGGAGAGGCACGAGACGGTTCGACTGCCCTCTCCCGAGGATGATTCACTCGGTCTGACCCCGCCTCCTTCGTTCTAGAAAAATCGCGGTCTTGCTGGGCCGCCGATGTGGGGTGAGGAGGATCGTCTGCGAAGCCGTGCTTCTGCGGGGAGAGCGCGCGCCCGGGAGCCCTGGATGTTTGCTTTCTTTTTTTTTCTTTTTACCTCGCGGCGTTTCTGCCGCCCGTTGTCGCAAGTATTTGGCGGCGCGCTCTTGTTTAGCGCTCGTTCTGTGACAATGGCTGATGTTATCTCTACTGAATCAAATGCCTTCTCGTAACCTATGAAGGCTATGCATAGCGATTGCTTGTATTCGGAGCATTTCTCTGCTACCTGATAGTTAGTGTGAATGTGGTCGATTGTTGAATAGCCTGTTTGATATTCTACTTTTTCCTTTGGTTGATTGAGTTTCAATGTCTTAATTCTGTTAGCAATTAGCTTTCTGAAGTACTTGTATACGATGGAGAGGAAGATGATCGGCCTGTAATTCTTCAAGTCTTTGTCATCCCCTTCATTATGAATTAAGATGATGTTAGCATTCTCCCAAGATTTTAGTACCATCCCCGTTAGGAGATACCTTGTAAAGAGGATAGCAATTTTTCTGACTCAATCTGTCCTCCGTCTTTGAGCAGATCTCGTGTTACCTGATCCTCACCAGCAGTATGCCTCTTTTCATTCCCTCAAAGGCTTTTCTGACTTCATCTGTCATTACTGGTGGGATGCCTGTTATTACCTGCTTTAGCGTTGATGCAATGAATGACGATCTGACAAGTATCATTACGAAGTGTGCAGTGGGAGTTGGACGTATGGTAGGTAGACAGGGCACTGGCAAGCTGTCGACGAAGAACCGCTTTAAGAAACGTTAAAGCATGCAAGCTTCAAACACAACAGACAAAATAGAAACTCGCAGATCTTTTGAAGCTGATTATTAAGCGGAAGGCATCAGATGTAAGAAGGTACAACATGGATAAAATTGAATCATGCTCTAAAAAACAAAGGAAGCGCCACAGTGGTGAAGAGGAAAACTTGGGATAGGTAAAACACATATGTATACACTAAGGGACAAAAAAGGCAAAGTAACTGTCAATATAGATAGGATAATTGAAGTGGCGGAAGAATTTTAAAGAGACCTGTACAATAGCCGGAACAACCACGATGATAATGTAAGAACTAGCTGTAACCCAGATAACATCACAAATCGATATTGCTTCAAAAACATAGTGCGACTTACGAAGCCCGACTACGGACTGGTGCGCAAGGTGCAAGTTTTCTTGCCGTTTATCCAGTTTTTATGCATCTCTCAGTGCTTCAATCGACCTTACCCAAACCAAACACGCATAACTATACAAAGATTTGTTTAAGTGCAACGCCCTACGTTTATTTCAGCTTACCACGTCTCTTGCTGCACAGGCTGCATTATTACCTCGAATATCATACCAGTGTGGGAAAAAAATTACTTGTGCTAGAAACTAGTGCTACCCGAACAGCCTATAATAAACTCATGGCCTGCAGAAGCACTCGAAATAACTGACGCGTTAATTGACGTCATCGATGTCGGCGCACATGTCTTGGCTGTTCTCGGGAACAATGACTCCACAGACATCCACAAACTGGTCCATGCAGTCTTGTGGTATGTTATTCTCCACTGCGACTCGAACCCATAAAGTGCACTCTGAAACAAACGATATGAAAAGTTCAGCTGGTGCAGGTGTCCTTGACTGAATATTTACTTTGTTGTAAGTATAAACCCGATGAATCAATGAAACGCAGTGCCTATAAAAACTAACTTCATGCTGTTAAGTAGTGCAATCTGTAACGCAGCCTTTTTGATTGATGCTAAGGCCTGGCTGGATGATACAACAATTGTGATAAAACATACATTGTAGATAACAAGCTGTCAGCAACTTTTATACTTCGTTTCCGACCAATGCCACTACTTTAAAAGTAGACTTCAGATGACGTGAATAAAGCTATAAAAATTTATATACAATATTGAAAACCACAAATGAAAAAAAACTTTTTTTTATAAAAGTTCTAGGTGTATACACAAAAATGCTGGTACATGTAAAAAGTCTTTCAAAATCAATAATATCGACTGCACTATAGGAGAAATTAAAGGTTACATAGTCTTTATTCAGAAAACCGCAGCCACACAGTTAGCTTTAAGGTTTTATTATACAAGAATATAGCTCCCTTTTATTCTACAAAAACACTTTCCTATGCAATCATGGCGCTACGAGGTGATACTGACTTCCAGGCGGGGATTTTAATTCCTTAATTTTCATACATGATAGATATCACTTAGACGTAGAAATGTGAGTGGCACTTAGACGTAGAAACGTAGGAGTGTGTGAAGTATAGCTTATTGTCCAATTCACACATATTGTAAATAGGTGCACGTGTAAATAATCATTCTTCTATTGGCGAACTTTTGCGTAGGCCTTTTCTAACTTTTCTTCATTGTAGATAAAGCAGTATGGGTTATACGTTCAGTTGCAACGAGGCTGTTGTTTAGGTCGATGGGCACATCCGTGAGAACTGAATACGTCGATATTAAGGGACGTAGCCTGGGGAGTGCACACCGCCCCCCCTCCCGCGAAATTTTTTTCACCATGACATAGAGAGCAGAAAATTACCATTTTAAGGGGGTGCCCTTCCCAAATTCCTAAAATAATGAAGGTCCCCTCCCCCCCCTCAAAAAAAAAATTCTGGGTACGGCCCTGTTGAGACAAAAAAAAAACACTTCTTACGATGTCCTTCTCCCTGCAGCTCCAAGTCCGCCACGACACAGTTTTCATAGTCCGTGTAATATATGACACCCTCTCTTGTGTTAGAATCTGGAAAAATAGTAGAGTGAAATGTACTTCAGGCTTATCTTGGCAAGCAAAATTACGGAACAAACATAATATGCGTGCGAGGCCTCTGGAAGAAAGGAAAAGTTCTCAAGTTTCGTCAGCATCTCCTAACTTCCATTAGTGAACGTTACGTCGCGTATTAGCTTGGTTGCAGCATAGCATGGATATTTTTAATAAAATTATTGATTATGTACGCGCCTACGGTTCATATAAACCGCTGTTCAGTACACGTTGCTCGCGAGTGAATAATTCCGGCTAACTGTTGCCCGGCGCCCGATGAAGGCTTACTAAGAAACAGCTTCGTCAAATTAGGCCTATTGTTCGGACATGACAACGAAAGCTACGGAAGTGGTCGCTGGCGATGAAAAGCGCCTAGTGCACAGTTCTGATCACTCACTAATGCTAATGTTTTATGTGAACTCCTAGAAGCAAGAAGAAAATGTAAAATTATGAAAGTGGGGCTCGCGAAATGGTTGTTACCAAAAGATATTTGAAGGACTTTATAGAAACAGACTAGGAGTTTTTAAAGTGCACTGACGTTACTAGAAGATCGCGTTCAAAATGATGGTAGTGTAGGTGCAGTGCAGCTCGTGCGCTGCACCGACACGCCTCATCGTAATTATATGAGGGTTGTCGCGACACACCTTTTAACCCTTGAAACAAGGCCTAAAGTGCAGGATATACAATTAGTCACCGACGGCTTTCAAGAGCGCGTGCAACATGCCCATTTTTTTATAGAACAAATGTTTCTGAATTTTTCAGTAAGGTTGTTACCACTTCATATGAGCGTGAAGCAAAACGCTTTCACACATTCCAGTCGGGCTGTACAAGCTCTATTTCTCGGAGTATACAAAATATATCGTGTTGCATAGTGCAAACATATGAGGCTACCAAAGACGCTTTGGCGTCACACCATACGCTTAGCGGAGATGTAGCATGTCAGCAAGGGTTCATATACGTCAAAGCCTGTCATGATGGCTTAATAGAAATACACGATGTGGAAATTATATTTCTTAACAGCTGGAACTAGGGCTACGCTAGGAATATGAAGACAGCGGCCCATTGTCTTTTCGTCAGCGGCCCATGGACCACAAATCACTGTCTTGGACACATGATTTTTGATTAAAAATATTTTCAAGTAATACTCCAAATCAAGCTTATTATCATTTGCGAGGCATATCCCGTGGTCACTAAGGGTTGAAACGTATACCCTTGGAACAAAGCCAATGTATTTCAGAATCTGCGAAAACATATTTTCTCGAGCCCTGGCACCAAGTGCCCTTCACAGATATGAGAAGGGAAGGAGATACTTGAGAGGCCACCTTTTCAAATGCTGGTATTAGTCTGCATCTTCTTCAAGCTGCCACCCCTGCCCCCACATCCCCCGGCTTCAGCATGCATGCCTCACGGTCTCGTACCAAATTCTTGGGACCAAATTCTTTGAGTTCTGTATGTGGTCGGGGATAAGGTTTGGACCCAGCTTTATGGAGGCACTGTTTCCTTCATTGGTTTCAAAAACTGCTGTAAAAGGGGGATCCATCATAGTTTCCTTTTACTTCGCTTCATCCTCCCAACAAGATTACGTGAAAAAGCTGTCACTACACCAAACGCCGAATGGTGGCTTCCGAAAAAAAAACCCATAGAATTCGTTGGCGGACACACGCCCTATTTTTTGACGATAGAGGAAGTGAACATTTTTATGCTCTTTTGTTGAACGATTTCAAGTACCTAAGGGTGGTTATTTTAAGTATAGAGCTTGACAAAAGCTCTTTCGCGACACAGCTGCCATTTCTATTGAAAAGTGCTCACCTAAGTCCGACTTAAAAATCAGCCGTCCGGGGGAGCTTCCAGGTGTGATTTGAAACAGAAGCACATTTCTGTAAAAAATCAGACGGAAGGATTGAATTATAATCTTATGTAACAAATGTGGTTGATCCCTCTGATATAAGAATCAATATAACATACGAAAGTGAGGCATGCTTTCAAAGAAGTAGTTGAATGTTTATTGCACAATGATAGATGTGTATTGGTGTATAGTGGCTACCTTTAGACAATGACGCACCGATGTTGACGCCTGACGACACTTCTCCATTATGACAATCAATCACTCGCTACCGGAATACATTTTTCATTGCACGCACTGAAGCATCGCTCGAATCAAACATGAACCACAAGCGTTCTCAATCAAGGCAATCAAAACTGAACGAGTTATATTGAATCGATTAGTGAACTCACTGTCTGCTGCAGTGAAATGTGCATGCTTTGCGGGCCGGTGACCATCATGTGGTTGCGCTTAACATGCGGCGTAATGCTGGTGAGCGGTGTCCTGCTGGTGGGTCACTTCAGCGAAGGTATGACTATTTCGGTTCTGCTTTGGTGTGTTTATGGAAGCCAGTTGGGTCGCGATGCGCTCAACATCGTGAGCGTGAAAGCCAGAGCTCTCTGCTTGATCCGCGAGTGCGAAAAGGTCTCCTACTCCTTTTCGCCGTGTCACTCGCTGCACCATACCCACTTGCGGGACATTTGCCCGTCGGCATCATTCTGTTTAGGCGGCGCTTAATGCAGCAGTTCTCGTAGTCGGTGCCCTGTCACTGTTATCTGCGGACGGTGGAATAACACAGTTGGTGCACATGGAAGTTGCCCGTGAAAGCACAACGCAAAAGACAAAGCACAATAACTGACATTTAAAGTTACACAGTCTCTGGCTGAAGGGAACCATGTGTGGATGCGAAGCAGCGGGGAGATATGTCGCTTGAGCGGGAAACAGTGTACTCTATTGAGAGCTTGTGCCGGCGCTCATACTGACTCTGGCGACGGCGTTGACGCTGGGGGTCATCGCGGCGTTGCGCAGGAGAGAAACCTGGGGAGGCGCAAAGCATGCAGTGATAGACCGGTGTTTCCTACTAGAACATGCCATTGCTTCTAATGGCCAATGAGAGGCAGAGGACGCCGATTAGACAAGGAGAGCTGCAGTCTTCATTTAAATTACGAGTACGCTGCGAGGTTTTCTATTCAACAACGCACAGAAAAAAAAATGGCAGATACCACGTACAGTGGAAGTCGATAATATGCGAAGCACGGATGAGGAAGGTTGATATTCACTTCAAAATTACACGAGGTTACGATGTAGATGTAAATTATGCCATACATAAGTTACATGTCAGGATTATCATGTTAGCGCCTGGAATTTTTGTTCGTCGTTCATTCACGTCACGTAATATGAAATTTGGTATATGTGAAGCTAGCGAAACAGCCGCGTGCGCCCAATGAGTGTAGCATGTAGTCAAGTTTTACATGACATGCATGTCATCATTATCATGTTTGAAGGTGCCATTTACCATTGTCGTCTATTCACGTCACTTAATACCAGCATCGGTATGGGGAACACAGGCTCAAGTTTGCGAAGCGCTGTTCACCGCCCTAGCGAAGAGAGGGTAAAGCTATGGTCGCTTGGGCGGGCGGCCCGTCCGAGCGTTTTCCCATTGCGCGCACGGGAAACGTGTTCCTTTGGGCTTATAACGCGATAGCAGAGGTTTTTAGCAAGCTACGGAAACACTTTACGGAAGGGCAGCAACACGGAACCAGCTGACGAGTGCGCACGCGCGACCATTGAACGCGCATACGGAAAGGAACCGTTCCCTTTTTTCGTGACGTGTTTATGTAGCTGGCTAAAAACCTCTAGCGATAGAGAGCTCGTGTCACAGAAAGTCCGCCGTCAGCGTCGGCATCGTTGGTTGTGAGCGAAAAATTGTCCGTGAGTGAAAAATCGAGAAATCAGCAAATAAAATACATAATAAAATTTGCATTAGCATTCAGGATTGAACCCGGGCCTTTAGCGTCGCCAGCAGGTGTCCTACCACAAAGACATGATGTTACTTGTGGCTTAGGAAAAAAAACACACACTACATAAATGTCATTCAGGGAGAAGGAGCCCTCTTAACGCATTTTGTTGGACAAGTGTCACGACGAAAACAAGCCCATTCGGCAATTTGCAGGCGCATTTGCGAGGCCATCAAACTACGGGGAAAAGGCCGGGATAGTGCAGCCATCGCCGCTAAAAACACCCAAGAACTTTCAAATAGCTCTAAAAATGGACAACTATGTCCATCCATCGGAAAACATATCATGCCTTTCCAGAGGCGTTGATCAAGCAAACAGCAAACGCTAGATAATGTGCTGCCATCTGTGAAGCATTGTGAGACTGTTTATGGCCTTTTAGATGGCGAGCGCGCGGCGTTTATCTTGGAGGCCATGCGACTCTTGCTTTAGCTCAAAAACCTGTATGTATTATTCGCGCGCGTGCGCGTGCGTGTGTGCGTGTGTGTGTGCGCGCGCGCGTGTGTGTGTGTGCGTAACAAAACATAGTAATAAGTGTGCACTTGGTGGTTGAAGGGTGCACTAGGGTCTTCATTTCACTATCGCGTTCAACTCTTAAAGGCGAAGCTTAAGGGTCCCCCATTATTTATCTCGCATTTGGCATGGCATGGGCGCCGTTTCTTCGTCATTCTGGAAAGCAGGCAGGCACTCATGCTGTGCTGTCAACCGCTGCAAAAGTTTAAAGATGTCAAAGAGCTGATGACTGCCCGTGAAGTTCAACCGTTCCCTATGCTAGTGCAAGGAACAAAGGCGTCAAGAGTTGATTATGGCAGTTCGTCGATACTTCCACGGTCTTGCCACTTTGAGGCATTTTTCGTCGTGCACAGTATTACAAACTGTTAACAGGGAGAAACTTGTTGGCCGGACACATATTAAAAGGAAGTGCGTTTGTAAACCGAAGCTACGGCGAACGCACAACTACTTTGCATTTAGAGATTGGGCACCACCTTTCCGAGACAACCATTTGTAATCAGAAAGTGGCTGAGCTTGCTAGCTTGTACACCACTGTTAAAATATCGTACCGTGAGCCCTGCAAGTGTTTTATTCAGCTGATGGCTGTAGACTTCTCGTCGCTGCTCAGTGTCAACAGATGTATGCTGCGAGTTCGCGCTGCGCGTTTATTTGTACAGGTCTTTAAAGCACCCGCCACCGATAAGTCAGCTGGCTGAGGTGTTGAGTTGCTAGGATCAAAATCGCGAGTTCGATTCCCACATAGGCCAGCTGCATTTCCATGGAAGCGCAACGTAGTAACATTGTGGTTAGATTTAGGTGCAAGAATGGTAGACCTGCAGGGCGTGTTGGTGTTGCATATTTGAAGCGTATGGTGTGATGACGGTTAATGTAAACAGAAGTGGCGCTCGGCGTGTGAGCACCCTCGCTCCGTCGACGTCGTCGCGCCTTACACTTCAATTAGATTTAGGTGTACATTAAAAAAAAAATCTTGGGTGACTGGAATAAACCTGGAGTTTTCTAGGAGGCACGGCGTGCCTCCCAATGATGTCATGGTTTTTGAACGTAAAATATTATATCCTCTCGTTCGCCCGTGCGGGGGGCAATATACAGTTGCCGCTATATGAAAACGAGTTGAAAAAATGCTAAAAAGTTTCGGCAGCTATAAAAGTTTCGATGGTTTCGCGAAATGAGACGCGAATATCAGGGGCAAATCTCGGCGTATATAAAAACATGGTCGAACCTAGTGGTAATTGTATGTTATGACAAAGATCGAGTGAGCTGTCAAAGCAACCAAAGTAACATTCGAATCAGTGAACACGGTGCGTGATAAGGTGTGGAGATTATTCTGCAATGCAAACATGCGCAGCCGGAAACGAAGTGCCAAGTGAAATGCCAAGTGAAAAGTGGTAGGAGCCTCGTCAAGATGCTAACATAGCAGCTTTTAGCTCTTATCCTTACGTTTTCTTTTTCGCAACTCTGTGAAGAAAATGCTCAATAAAACTGAAACTGAAACATGCATGCCGTGTTGATGTGGACATAAAATACTTTTTTTGCGCGCATCATTCTGATTTCGAAGGAGCTTTAAAAATTCAAGGTTGTCAACATCCGACGAAAACCTCGGCAGAAGTGAAACTCTGATTAAACTGAACACTGCGTAATGCAATGTTGCCACGAACTCAACAAGGCAGACGGTAAGTTTGTCTCTTTAATACTACGATGCATTACTACTACTGCATACGTCGCGGACGCACGACCCACGGCTTAAGGAGCATCGCTCCTGAAAAGAGAGGCTGCGCGCCCGTGAAAGCCTTGATGCCAGCGCCCGTTCGAATGCTGGCATCAAGGGGCTGGACCGTATAGTGCTGAGATTACATAAACGTTCTGGGTCGGTCCTCGCTAGCGTCATAATGGCGCAATTCTCTGCTCAGGTTGTGGCGCCACTCCCATAAATCGATTGCGCAGGCACAGAGAGGAGTGAAATATATAACTTACGTCAGAAGTAGTCTTCCCACATGCGCCTATGGCACAGTTAGTGAAGTGCCCAGTGTCTATCACCACTCACCGAGAGGTGCATGGGTGAGGCTCCCATATCTCCCAGTTTTGCATAACTTCTCCTTCTGATTCATTTCTTTGTGAAGTTCTGTTCGTCTTTTTGACAATGGCGTGTCAATGACTGCAGTGAGTTAGTGAAGTTTTGGTGCACTCATGCATAAAACACTCTCGTGTTAAAAAATACAAATAAAAAACTATATTATACGCTTTATGCGACGCAAGAGTATTTAAATAACTGGTACGGATGTGTAGCGCTACCGATTTGAATAGGAGATCTGTTTACACAATGTACGCTTTAATAAAGGACACTCTTTTGTTGGCACAGCTGACAACGCACTCAGGAGTCGTACTTCGAAATAGCAGATGTAGTTAGGGGAAGAATGTGATGTTTAGAGGAAGTCCATGCCAGATTGTAGCACAGATGGGACAGCCGAACAGGGAATCCCTGCACTATAGTGCGTTTTGATTAGCGAACAAAGAATGTCATGGAGCGGCG